GGAAGCCGGAGGCATCCGATCTCCTGGAGTTAGTGTTACAGATAGATGTGAACTGTCGACATGGCTTCTGGGGAGAGAACTTAGGTTCTCTGAGAGAGAAACAAGTGTTCTTAACCACTAAACCATTGCTTCAGCCCCCTTAATCAATTGTTTAAAACAATAAAAAGTTGGGGAGTTGGGTAAATGGATAAGAGCACTTGCTGTACAAGCGAGGACATGAATCTGGATTCCCAACATCCACATAAAAGTTGGTTGTAGCTGCATGTACCTCTAAACCCCTCACCAAGGCAGAAGGGACAAGGGGAACCCCAGAGCTTACTGCCCAGCCAGTTTTGTTGAAAAATGGCAAGCTCTGGGTCCAGTGAGAGACTCTGTCTCAAGGGAATAAGGCAGAGAAAGAATGATAGAGTGGGCGGGACATCTTCTTCTGGCCTCCATGTGTATGCACATGGGCATGGGTGTCTGCAAACACCCAAATTTAAAAACAACAACAATAACAACAACAAAAAAAGTAAAACCCATTTTACCTGTTAACTATATGAAGCTTTTAGTATCCTTTCCTGATTCTCATCTACAGTACCAGCTCTGAAAGCCTGGTTCTGGATAGGATCTGATAATTAAACATCCTAGAAGGAAATGAAAGAAGAAAAAACAAGCCATCTTATTCTGGTAGTAGCTACAACAAACCCAGTGGCTCTGCCTCTACTCAGAGGCAACAGTAGTGGGCAATCCAGCACAGGGCATTAGGTCAATCATCAGTACATCAATCACAGCAATGAGAACAAAACAAGGTCTCTGTTTTAAGAAAAAGTCTTGTCCAGGTTGGTCTTGAACTCACAAGCTCAAGTGATCCTTGTACGTTAGTCTACAGGTATGTGCCTCTATGCCTAGTTGAACAGAAAGGACACCTCCAACAGCTCATGAGGTTAAGTACATGATCAAGAGCTGCAGCCCTCAGAAGGTGGTGGTTCCTTCTTTGTATAAGAACCCCTTCTCCCATTTGTTCTTCCAACCTAGGCCTTCCATCACTTCCGAAACAAATTCTACTATTAGTTCCTCTTTTCTTCTCAGTGTTTTGAGTCAGGGTCTCATGACAATCTATTTAGTCTGGAACCTGATGTTATAGAAAACTTGCAACTGTCATCCTACTTCTGGCCCCAGAGTACTGGGATAGTAAGCCCAATCTTCTTTCCCTTTAAAATAAATAACTCTACTCTGAATTAAACCTAGAGTGGTGTCTGCTTTCTGATGGGACTTGTCTCTGAGGTACATTTTATGATCTCAATATGTAAACAGAACAGAGACACGCAAACTGTCTCTTGTTGACTGAGGTGTCAACAGTTTCTCATATTTTTGTTCTGTACTTTACATCCCCAAACTACTGAGGACCCAATTAAGCTTTTGTCATATGGTTTATGCCAATCTGTATTTACCATACTTAGAAACTAAAATTAAGGAAATTTTAAGCACATGACTAGTGTGTTTGAAAATAATAAACATACTGCATGTTAACATAAATAACATTTCTATTAAAAAATATCACTATCCAAAATAAAAATAAAGTCAGTGAGAAAAGTGGCATGATGTTAAGGTTCTGCAGCTCTACTGTTCCCTTGACTGCAGTGAATCTGAGGTCCTTCTGCACTTAGTCTGCTATGGATTGCTTGGCTGAAGCATGAAGTATATAAAGCCAAGAGAAAAATCTAGTTGCATACAGATAAGTATCTGGAAATGGGGGAGTTTTGTATTTAGGCTAGTCTGTCTTCTAGGCTTCTAATTCAAGTGGTACAGTCCCAGTCCCCTGGGTACTAAACAACCACACCCAGTGGACATTTCTTTCTTTTTTGGTTTTTCAAAACAGGGTTTCTCTGTATAACAGCCCTGACTGTCAAGGAACTCTCTTTGTAGATCTGGCATTGAACTCACAGAGCTCCATCTGCCTCTGTCTGCAAAGTGTTGGTATTAAAGGTGTCTGCCACCACCACCCAGCTCAGTGGTCATTTTTAAAAGATAGTTGCAATCTAGAATCTGAAGCTCTACCGCTGAACTTTTCATACACTACTACATTAAAATCCACTAATAACTCACACTTTCAATGGATCTTCTTGCCGAATATGATTTTTTTTAACGTTATTTACTGGCCATTTGGAAATAGTTTATTGAGTTACAAGTTCCTTAAAATGTTGACACATTTCATTACAATATGGGGGAAAGGCCATGTTTATTATCACTGTGGAACTTACCAGACTATAACTGTTTTGTTTTAGACAGTGTCTCACTCTGTAGTCTAAGTTGGCCTTTAACTTCTAGTGGTCCTCCTGCCCCCACTTCACCGAGTGTGAGCCACCATGCATGGAAGGAGAAAATTCAACTATTGGGAAAATGTGCCACAGAGGAACACACAAGGTTTCCAAAACTGTAAAGCATGAATTTTATCAGCAGCAAATACTGTCACTTGGTTCATTTGAGAAACATTTGAGCCAAGTCCTCAAGCCTAAACAACCATTGTTATTACAAAAAAAAAAAAGGTTAATTCCAACTATCTCAAAGGTGCTTTTCCTTAGAAGAAGTTCTACTGTCTCACAATGAGGCAGCTGTCTCACAATGACTCCCCATGCACTCACACAAAGGTCAGGGCTAACCACAAACTCATTTTTTTCTGAGGTTTGTTTTGAGGGACAGCACATTTTGCTACTTAGCACTGGCTGACCTGGTGGTACTTGCTATGTAAGACAGGGTGGTTGCTGGTTGGCCTTGGACTCACTCACAGTGGTCTTTCTGCCTCAGCCTCTAAAGTGCTGGACTAACAGGAAAGTGCCACCAAGTTCATCTCATAGACATTCTTTGGGGTGCAGAGCAGTACAGACAAGGAAATTTAGGCAGAGCCAAACTAAACCTAAATGCCTAGTCCCAAAGCTTCCTATCACCACACTAATGGCCTGGCTTCACTACACTTGTCACATGATCAGCATATGCCACTAAGCCACCTCGCACACCTGCACAATGACCATGGCTACCTCTTGCTCTCTTCACTACTATGTGAAAGGAGCACAAGGAGGAATGAAAAAGCAATCTAGAAATTTTTAAATATTCCTAAACAAAACCAAATCCAAGAAGAAATAATCCTAGAGGCTCAACCTAATACAAACTTTATTACATAACTATAAAAGTTTACAAGCCTGTTTAAAAAAAAGTCAAACCTAACTAAAATTAGATTTCTTCCTCATCTAGTATTTGATCCTTGTCCCACCATTCTCTACTGTACTCAAAAACCTCGCATCCTGTAGCAAGCTCCCATCGTAGAAAAGCAAAGGTGCATCTTCTACGCATTGTTAAAAATCCAGGAGACCATGAAGGCTGGACCCTATGATAAAACCAAAGATGCAGACTTTGAACTCCAAAGAGTTCCAAAATAAAAACATATAGCTGCTTGGTATAGCTCAACGCAACAATGTAAAGATAGAAATCTAAGACTGACATACAGCAGTCCCAAACCAAGACTATTATAAAAATATCTGACCATGCTAAGTGTGGTGGCTCATATTTGTAATTTGTAATTCCAGCACTCTCTCAGGAAGCTAAAACCTAAGCCACACAGAAGTTCCAGGTTAAAGAGACCTTGCCTCAAAACCCCAAAATAAAGTCAGGCATGGTGGTATTCACCTATGATCCCAGGACTTGAGAGATGGAAGTAGAAGGATGAGCTACACTGCTGAATGAGGTCTGCTACATGAGACTGTCTCAAAAACTGAAAAACAGAAACTGTTGATGGCAGACTGGAAAGTGACCCCGGAGCTGTACACCTGCTAGACATGGGCTCCATCAGCTCTATTTCCAGTCTGTTTTATTGCTTTCCTTTTGAGACAGATCCCTCTAAGTTGCTCAGACAGGCACTGAACTGAAATATAGCCCAGACAGACTTTGGACTTGAGACCATCCAGTCTCAACTTTCCAAGTATCCAACTGGACTGATAGTTAAGATTTTTTGAATGTCTTGCTATTATTCTCTAGCTATGCTCAAAAGTCTTAAATTATTATTATTTTTTAATTCTGTAGGGGCTGGAAAGACGTCTCAGAGGTTAAAAGTACATACATACTGTTCTCACAAACTGAATATGAACTCAAATTCAGTTCCCAGCACCACATCAGGCAGTTACATTAAGCTGTTTACAACCTTCTCCTCTAAATCCAGCCCCAAAGGACCCAAAGCTTCTGGCCTCCACACATATTCACACACGGGTACACACCCTCACACACACACACACACACACACACACACACACGACAGTTAAAAATAAAATTAGAGCTAGAGACATGGCTCAACCATGTGGCGCATGTGCACTATTCTTGCAGAGGATCTGTTCAGTTCAGATCCCTGTACTCAGGCCGGGTGGCTCAGAACTGCTTGTAAATCCAGCTCCAGGGCTCTACAGGCACACATCTCCACACACACATACATATAATTAAAACTAATAAATCTTATATATTTCTTAAAAAGCTTGAACTAAAAAGGAAGAAACCAGACTGGCATGGTGGTACACACTTTTAATCCCAGCACTTGGAAGGCAGAGGTAGGTGGATTTCTCTGAGTTTGAGGCCAATATGGTCTACCATAGAGAGTTCCAGATCATTCAGGGATACATTTATATCTCCAGATCTATATATGCAGCTCACACCATCTGTAACTCTAGCTCGAGAGATTCTAATACCCTCTTCTGGCCTCTGTGAGCATCAGGCATTTCATGGAACACACATATACATGCAGGCAAAAAAAAATTCATACACATAAAATAATAATAAAATACGAAAAGAGAAAGATTTGAAAACAACTACAAAGTCAAAGAAGCTATTTATTTATTTATTTATTTATTTATTTATTTATTTATTTATTATGTATGCAATATTCTGTCTATGTGCATGCCTGAAGAGGGCACCAGGCCTCATTACAGATGGTTGTGAGCCACCATGTGGTTGCTGGGAATTGAACTCAGGATCTTTGGAAGAGCAGGCAATGCTCTTAACCGCTAAGCCATCACTCCAGTCCCTCAAAAAAGCAATTTAATAGATGCAACTAGCTACAAGCATGCTACTGCCAAAGAGTCCACTACCCTCCGATGGTTCAACTGCAGAAATCATAATGTTATTTGCAATCCTAGCACCTAGGCACATAGAATGCATGTTCCAGGCCTGTTGGATTATTTAGCAAGATTCTTTCTTGAAAAACTGGAGGTGGAGGCAGAGGCACAATAAATGAAACATACATGAAATAACAGAAGAGGTATGGGGTATTATTAAGTTTTCTTAGTTGGTTTTAATTAAGCCTCGCCCACACAGTCTGAGAAAATGACTCAGCAAGACTCAGCCCATATGTGAACTAGAGTTAAGCGATTAATACAATTAAGTTAAACACATGTTTCTTAAATTTACAGATAAAGAAGCTTAGAACTTAAAAGACTTGATCAAGTTTAAGAGCAAATTAACTACATACAGAATCTGACCTCAGGTTTAATATTTTGCTAAATGTATTTAGCACTTAAAGGTCATTAAAAAAACATAATTGCCACAGTCCCTCATTGGTCATTTTCACATATACAGCAATCCATGTACCTCAAAGGTTAAGTAATTCAGTGTATCTTTGGCTAAGTCTCTAACCAGAAAATTTCAATTCCAACCTATTCTGCACCTCATCTCACAGTCATTTCTTTTGTAAACTGAACCAAACCATTTCACATCCCTGCTCAAAACTTTGACAGAATTCAAATTCTTGCCATAATTACCAGGCTCTACACCATCTAGCCCACACCAGCTTCCTCAACATCTACTGACTCTGATTACTTCATCCCAGTCCAGCTTGCGCAGACAAGGAAGGGTCTTCACCTGACCTTTACATAATTACTTCATTATTTCCTCTACCTGAAATGTCCTCTCTGCTCTGTATTTTCCCTTAATTACTTAAAAATGAAAGACTGAAAATATAATTTGTTTTAGAGATGATGAAAATACAAATGGTTTAAAAGGATTATTTTGGTTTTTAAGTTGTAAAAACCAAACAAAACTTGTGAGGAAAAGGGCCGTCAAGATTGCTCAGCAGATAGACACTTGCCAACAAGCCTGACAACTGAGTGAAGGAGAGCTAACTCCAGAGAGTTGTTCTTTGAATTTCATATACTCATCCACACACATACATATTAACTAATTAATGAGCTAAAAATTTAATTAGGTCAGCAAGATGACTGAGGGTAAAGGCACTTGCCACCTCCAAGCCCGAGAACCAGAGGTCAATCTGTAGAATCCACATGGTTGAAAGAGAACCTACTCTCACAAGCTCTCCTTTGACCCCTATATCACTCCATGACCCACACACAAACACATACAAAATAAATACATGTAGTTTTAAATTTTAATTTTAAAACTGGAATAAAAATACATATAAAGGGCTATGCTGTTCCCCAAATGAAAGATCTGCTTTAAATAATAGTGCAGGAATATACATACATGGTAAATACACTGTAAAATGTGTTGCTTGTTGCACAATCCTAGAAGCAGTTACTCTTCTTTGCACTCAATAATTTTGTTCCCAATACTTAAACACATTAAATCAAGTTTACTGCTTTATTAACCCAAATTCTCACCTTTCTAACTCCAATGGCACCTTTTGCTAATTTTCCTCTCTTCCTTCATTAACTTTCAAGTTAACAGTTTGGTATATGAGTCTTCATGTTCTTCTCTATATACATGACGGTACTAAGAGCATCTTTTATAAAGGGAGATAGAAAATCATACATTAACTATGAAATCCCAGCATTTGGGAGGCAGAGGCTTGAGGACCCTGAGTCCCAAGCCATTGTTCCTTCTACACCAAAATTCCCTATTACTTCTTAGAAAGCCCAAGACTCCTTAATAAGATTTTCACAGCTGTCTACGCTCTCCTCAGCTTACTGCTGGCCACCCCCCACCCCCACTTCAGCCACCTCTTACTCCCTGCAGTCTCTATACATATCATATGCCTACAGACACATTCTCTATCTGAAGATGCCATCCAACCCCCAAAACCTTACTCCTTATGTTTTAGGACTCAAGTGTGCCTTCCTGTAAGTCCTGCAGAGCTCACTTAGCCTCTCCCTTGTGCTTCCCACATAATGTCCTGTTTTAGGACTAGTGCAATGGGGCAGTGTGGCAGATTCACCGTCACTCTTTCTGCTGCTGGGACAGGTGCTGATCTCCCATTTTACAGATGAAAAATGAGTCTCATGTGAAATTACCCCACACCGGAGCACTCCTGATTGCACGGACTGAAGGTCTAAGTTCTACCAGCATGTTAATGAGTTTGAAGGAGCAAGGAAAGGGGTGCTCACAGGACATTCATACTAGATCATTAGAATATGTCGGTAACATAGGCAGTTAGAAAAGTTCTGATATAAGAGATACAACAGGTGCTTGTAGCCCTCTTTCTGCACACTAGGACAGATTCTATGTTAGTACCTAGTCATGTGTCCAGCAGTCAGGATGCTACTAATCTCTATGTTAGTAGCATATAGTAAGAATATTAAAAGTTTTTCCTTTATCCATTTCAAAAAAAAAAACCAACACAGGGATGGTGGCTCATGCTTGGAATTTTGGAATTCTAGCACTCAAGAGGTTGAGTAACACACACATACAGAGTTTAACACCAACCGAGGTTAACAGAGAGACCGTGTCTAATAGATAATGAGGCATGCTGGCTCACCCAGCACTGGAAATGCTAGAGCAGGCAGATCATCATAGGTTTGAGGGCAACTGGAGCTACTACTGAGTGAGATCCTGTCTTGAAAGGGGGAGGGGGACAATAAAGAGTGGGATCTGTTTAAAACTAGCTGAGTTAGATGGCTCAAGAGAGCATCTGTGGACAATTTTCATTTCCCACACATCTACAAAATGCTGCTGTGTTGGTAAAGGTACCATCTCGTTTTGCGTTTGTTTTTAAGATCCACTGCATCAAGTTCATTCTGAATTTTAAAAAAAAAATGTATTATTCTTTTTCATGCTTAATAAAAAAGATTGGGGCTAGAGATTTAACTCAATGGCAGAGTGCTTGTCTCTCTTGTACAGGTCTTGATGGCAGGGGATCATGAAGAGGAAGGGTGTAAACACAGGCATTGTGTTGCATGCTATATAGTCCCAGGTTTGGGAAGTGGAGACAGGACTAGCAAGAATTTCAGGCCAACCAAGTTACGGGGGGGGGAGGGGGGATGAATGAATGAATGAATGAATGAAAGCAAACAATCAAGACTAAATGGATTGAGAACGACAAATGCTACCTAAAAGCAAATCATCAACTAACCTAGATTACAGCAAGCTGTGTAATAAAAAATTACCTGACAAAGTGCAAGGATATGAGCCAACCTGTAATACTATTCCTGGGAGGATTTCAAATTCTACAAACACCGGCATCAGACACACCACACCACCGCTTTCAGGAAAGTATGTTTTCTAGAGTCAAAGCTTCAGCATCCATGCCTCCTTACAAAAAGGTTAGAACAAATTAACACTGTTTTAATTGTTCACTCATATAGTTAGTTTAAATGCTTTTTTCAAGGCCAATATTTAATAAGACCATCTCTTAAAGCTTAAACACTTTAGGTTTTCTACTGTTCCTTTCCCCTAATGCCTATGTTTACATCAATGATAAAAACCATCTCATACTGAGCATGTAGCTCCAAACCTGTAATCCCAGCAGTAAACAGGCTGAGACACAGAGAACACTGTGAGTTCAAACTGTCAAGAGTTAGACTGAGTTCATGGCCAACCTAGGGTACCCAGCAAGGCATTGTCTTAATAAACAAAACTAAGCTCAGTTTGATGGCCTCCACCTATAATCCAGATGAAGGTAAGAGGATCTGGTGCTCAAGGTCATCCTAGGTACAAATTCAGTTGAAGACCAGTCGGACCATTTGAGACTCTCTAAACAATAAAAAAGATGCAATACCTTTTATGTTGTTGTTTTGAGACAGGGTTCTCTATGTAGCCCTAGCAGTCCTGGAAGTTGCCATGTAGACCATCCTGGTCTTGAACTCACAGATATCTGCCTGCCACTGCCTCCCAAGTGCTGGGAAAAATACATTTTCTTAATAAACTCCAACTATATGCATCATTAAAAGAAAATTAATATGAGTTCCAGCAATTCTACTTTATGTATGTTCAAAGAACTGTTCCATTCACCAAGGACATACCTGCCTCCCCAACATCACTGCAGCATTACTGATAATAGTCAAGATATGTAAGCAACCTAAGTATCTGCCAATAGATGAAAAAAGAAAATGTGATCTATATACAACAGAACAACATACACCAGTGGTTCTCAACCTATGGGTCACAACCCAAAGGGGCCGAATAACCCTTTCACAGGGGTTGCCTAAGACTATTGGAAAACACAGATATCCACATTACAGTTCATAACAGTAGTAAAATTATAGTTATAAAATAGCAATAAAAATAATTTTATGGTTGGGGTCACCATAAAGAACTGTATTAAAGGGTTTCAGAATTAGGAAGGCTGAAAATCACTGCCATATACCATATTTTTTTTAAAAAAAAAAAATATTCTGTTGTATACGGCAATATGGACAGAACTGGAAGAGAAGACATTAAGCTCCATGAAGTCAGACACTCTCACACTGTGTGTGGCACATGTGTGCCTACCCATCTACACATACACACTAAAATGTAAAGACTAGTTCTGCAATTTGTGTCATCTACAGGAAAAACCTTTGGGCAGGAAGAGCTGAGGCAGGTTGTATGGATGAAGCTGGGAGTGAAACCCTAGGAAGATTCATGGTGGTCAGTCGAACACTACACTTCTCAGTTATCCCTTGCATTACAGAAAGCATCTGTCTGTTTTGAGATAGTCTCACTCAATAGTCTAGGCTGTACTGAAACTCAGTATATAGCCCAGGCTGGCCTCAAACACAAGGCAATCGGCCTGCCTTAGAATCCTGAGTGCTGGAATGACAAGTGTGGAGCACCATGCCCAGCTCAGACAAATATTTTTAGGCATGTGTTGCGCACGTGTGCTCATATCCATTTAGGTGCATTTATGCATACGCGTGTGTTCATGCCTATGGAAGCCAGGTGCTGAGAATAATTGTCTTTTATCATTCTCCACCTTATTTATTCTTGCTAAACCAGATTCCTGGATTGAGCTAATCAAGCAAGTCACCTTGCCAGAAGGTCTCCTGTCTCTCCCACAAAGCACTGGGATTCAGACAGTTGTCAATCACACCTGCCCTGAGCCATCTCCCCATTCCAGAAAAACAAGTTTTGTTCAGAAGAGAAGCTACAACAAAATTAAAGAGGGAATGCCATATTATACTCTAAAAGTTAGTTATGCTGAAATTATCTGATTAATACTGAAATTATTTTTATTCCCTTAAGCACTCATTATTCTTCAGCCACTAAATAATCTGATAGCTCACATGTTGCTTAATTTATAATTATTCATATAAAAATGTTCTACTTAGTATTAGAATATTTTACTGTTAAAAAAAACACAGAAAGATATAAATATGCAAACTCCCACATGATCCAAAATGCCCAAGTTCTTCTCAGAGAGGACTACCAAGCCAGAGTGAGACTCACCTTAGAGGTTCAGCAACAGCCAGTATCTGGTAAAGAGTTCTTTATGTGCCACATGTGACATCACACGCCTGTGGAGGCCCTTTCTGAACCAACTTAATATAGAAAAATTACCTTTTTAAATTTATTCAATAAAATCCTTTTATTTGTCTCCAAAACTGGTTCACTTACATTTCAAACTCGCCTACAATCCTAATACCTCAGTATCAGTAAGTATTAAGTTTCTCTCATCCAGGATATTCCTATGTGCTCACATTACACTCTCCCTCCAGCTTCACCTTTCCACCTGTGCATCCAGTACTCTACTTCTTTTAACATGGGCACTCCTTTATTATTTTACAGATCATTCATGTGTATCTTATAGAAAAGACTTACTCTGCTTCAAACCCTCATTTACACCCGAAGCACCAAAAACTATTATTTTCATTGCTTCCAAAGTACACAATTTTCTTACCTTTATAGAGATGAGCGGAAATAAAAGAATTTCTTCTCACAATCACATCTTTTTTGTTTGTTTGATTGGTTGATTTTTTGAGACAGGGTTTCTCTGTGTAACAGTTCTGGCTATCCTGGAATTCACTCTGTAGACCAGACTGGCCTGGAATTCAAAGACCCACCTGCCACTGCCTCCTAAGTGCTGGGATTAAAGGCGTGTGCCACCAACACCCAGCCACATCATCTACTTTTTTCAAAAAATATTTTATTTATTTGTTTGTTTGTTTATTTATTATTTCTATCTGTTATCTCCACTGGATGAACATGTTAGCATGTAACAAGCAAAGTTTGCTCTTCTCAGTTGTCTAGAGCTTAATAAAAATCAGGTAAAAGGTCAAAGTCTGATGACTCTATAAATATAGACCCATACCTCAGGATGTCTCTTTTCGATCACTCCCATACATCAAACCTCTATAAAGGCCAACTGTGAAAGAAAAAGAAAAATCAGAGCCAAAGAGATGACTCAACAGGGTAAGAGGACCTACCACCAAGCCCACCAACCTGAGTTTGATCCCTAAAACCCACATGGTGGAAAGAATACACTCATGAAGTTTGTCCTCTGACCTCCAACACACAAACTGTGACATATATGCCCATACACAGATAGACAGACAGACAGACAAATAGATGACTAATAAATAAAAATTTAAGTTAAAAAGCAAGGCCAGCCATGGCAGCTCAAGCCTATGTTGCCAGTAGTGTGGAGACTAAGATATGAATTGAAGGCCTACAAAGTGAGCTCTAAACCAACTTGGGCTACAGAGTGAGATCCTGTGTCAAGCACAGTGGTCTGTTTCTGTGATCTCAGCACTTTGGTGTAAGTGATGAAAAAATCAGGAGTTCAAGGTCATCTTCAACTGCTCAACTACATAGTGAATTCTGGCCTGCCTAGACTTGTGATCTTGTTCAAAACAAATATAACACAAGGGAGGAAGGGAGGGAGGGAGGGAGGGAAGGAGGGAGGGAGAAGGGCAGATAAAAGCTACAGGGTTCTCAAAAAATTACAACTAATGTCTCACTTAAGAGAGACAAAATATTGTTAATATTATGATTGTATAAAGGTAAATTAACTCAACATTTGCCTTTCATAAGCAAATATTTACTAGGTTTTAAATCAGCCAAAATTCAAAATTAGTTCTTACCATTTAAAGCCAAGTGCTATATGTAATTCTGACAGACTAAGAAGCGGCTGAGACATTTGTTGTTGGGGGTTTTACAAAAATAATGTATCAAGGGGGCTGAAGAGATGGCTCAGCAGTTAAAAGCACTAGCTGTTCTTCCAGAGGACTGGGATTCAATTCCCAGCACTCACATGTGTCAGCTTACAGTTGTCTGTAACTCAGGTTCCCAGGGATCTGACACCTTCATATCAATGCACATAAAATGAAGTTAAAAATAAATTTTAAGACTGACATTTAAGACTAGAGTCATACTCTGTTAAAAAGCAAGAATAACCTCCAAGTAATCAAATGACTAGGTAAAAAACTAGGCATTTAAATTAATGCTTACTTAAATGTCAGTTATAGAAAGTAGTAAAAAAACTTCTGATTCTTTTCTACATTCATCTGATTATCGTAAGTAACATTAATATTACCTTGAGAGTAAATAGGATATTAACAATATCAATAGCAAAATACTATTATTTATTTTTTATCTTATGTGCTTGGTGTTTTGCCTATATATGTGTCTGTGTGATCTCCTGGAACTGGAATTATGACAATTGTGAGCTGCCATGTGCCCTGGCAGAATACTTGTTGCCTTACATGTAGGAAGCCCTGGGTTCAATCACCAGTAGAGTATTGTGGCACCTGTGAGGTGGAAGCAGGAGTATCAAAAATTCACTGATATTAAGTACAAGGTCAAACTGTAATATAACATTTCTCAAAAATAGCAGAAGGGGCTGGAGAGATGGCTCAGTGGTTAAGAGCACTGAGTGCTCTTCCAGAGAACCTGGGTTCAATTCCCAGCACCCATAATAGCAGCTCACAACTGTCTGTAACTCTAAGATCCAACACCCTATACAGACATACACCAATAAAATCAAAATAAATAAACAAATAACATGAACTCTAACATAATAGATACTGTAAGTTCAAAAGTAGAGTCATGGGTTGAGGAGATGGCTCAGTCTGGAAAGTGTTTACCTTAAAAGCATGAAAACCTGAGTTTAATCTCTAGAACCCACTTAAAACTGTCAGGCATAGTAACACTATAACCCCAGCACTGGGGTGCAGAAACAAGATTCCTGGGACTTATGGGCCTACCCATTTGGCCAAATTGGTGAGCCCCAAGCCAATGAGACGCTGTCCTGTTTCTGAGGATCACACACACACACACACACACACACACACACACACACACACACCTGCTTCAAAAAAAAATAAAAGTCACTAATTTAAAAAATTATCTCAAACTCCAATAGATAGAAAAGCTGATTCCCTACTCCCTTCTCTCTGAACACTAAAACAGAGAAAACAAGAGTTATAAATTCTATCTTCTTTTCAATAACAAGACATTGCAACTCTAAAAACTCAGGGCCAACTGAAGACAGCAAGTAGGAACATAACAATTCATGCCTTAGAACCCTAGAAAAGTTTAACATCAGGAGAATGGGTCTCAAGATGCATAGGGGAACAAAGACATCATAGCAGCCTCCGTTCTCATAACCAGATGCTCTTGCTGCTCCAGATTCAGCAGGAATCTCAGCAACTGTTCAGTAGGACAGCAAAAAACGCACAATCAATTAGGACAACAGGTGCAGTGGAATGTTGAGCTAAGACAAAAACAGGGAGGTTTTTCTTTGTTTTAAATTTACTTATTTTAATTATGTATGTGTGGGAGGCAAGGTATGTGCACGTGAGTGTGAGTACTCAAGGAAGATGGGAGGCTTCAGATCCCTTCTGAGCAGTAGTTACAGGAGATTGTGAGCTGCCCTGTGTGGGTGCTGGGAAACAAACATGGGCCTCTAGAAGTATAATAAGCATGCTTAATCAGAGTCATCTGTCCAGATGACAAAAAAAGACTGAAGATACTGAGATTTAAGCTAACCTTACACCCATTTGCCCAACTGTCTTTAATTGCTCATCAAGAACATAGGCAACCAGATTTATACCTTCCTCTCCATACCACAGAGGTGGTTTGAGGGTCATTCTCTGGGAAAATGCAATTGCTCCATAAACCAGCCCTGTAAAGCTGGGGTATGGTGGCAGACACACACCTGTAATCCTATCAAAGAGGCAGGAGGATCAACACCAATTCAAGATAAACATGCACTGCACAGTGAGACTCTGTCTCAAAAACATGCAAGGAAAAAAGAAAAGGAAAATCCTATAGATTTAAGTCCTAGATGCATTACCATATTTTAAAATAAATTCACTGTTCATTGTAGCACGAATAATGAAAACCCAGAGACAGATACTGGGGTTCAACCTGAGGATCAGAAAAGCAAAGCAGCCTAGCCACTAGAGAGCGCTTACCTCTATGAAATCTTCAGACTGAAAGAGAATGAGTTCCTGTCTCATCCCACCTTATATTCCTCTCTAGGGCTGGCGGCACACCATCAACACCCAGCCTTTATGGCTAACTAGTGTGGCTGCTGGGATTAAAGGTCTGTGCCACCACTGCCTTGCCTGTATGGATGACTAGTATTAGCTGTTTCGTGTTCTAATCTTCAGGCAAGGTTTATTTATTAAAATAGAAATGAAACATCGCTACAGTTCATCATTCTGTGAAAGTCTCAGCATTCATGATTAAAGATTAAAGGGGCTACAAATATCTTTTTCTTTTCTTTTCTCTTCTTTTCTCTTCTTTTCTGAAACACCCTCTCACTATTTAGCCCTGGCTGGCCTTGAACTAACAAAGATTCACTTGCCTCCTGAGTGCTGAAATCAAAGGTATTCGATACCGTGCCCCGTCAGTAAATATTTTACCAGGGGTGGAGGTCTGGAGGTGAAGGGAGGAAATTAACTGGAAATTGAACCTGGTGCCAAAAATGCTAAGCAAGTTCTCCTATCATCAAAAGACATGCCCACCCTTTTTACTTTTCTCTTAAGGCAGAGTCCCACCAAGCAATCTGAGTTGGCCTTAAACTTGTCGTCCTCTTGTTTCAACCTCCTGAATAAGATATTACAGGCCAGCACCACCAGCTGCAAATTACCTTTTAAACAATACATTCTTCTTAAATTTTTAAACCTCATTATATGCATATACACACCTGCCATCCAGGGTGCATGAGTGAAGTCAGTGAACAATCTGTGGCAATCACTTCTCTGCTCCAACAATGTGGGTCCCAAAACCAATTGGGACATCAAGTTTGGCAGCAAGTACTGAGGTATGATCCCATTACTGGGAGGCAGAGGCAGGACAATCATTGAAGACCAGTTCCCAAGCCAATTGAAGGTCATTCTAGAATTCATAAGACCCTGTTAAAGAAAAAGGGAAGGAAGGAAGGAAGGAAGGAAGGAAGGAAGGAAGGAAGGAAGGAAGGAAGGAAGGAAGGAAGGAAGGAGAGAAGGAAGGAAACCAAAATGAAGGCCAGGACAAGAGTTACTGAAGTTAAAATATAAGCTGGACATAATAGGGCAAGACTGTAATGCTAGCCAAGAGGCAGAAACAAAGTTAGGAGTTCAAAATCATAGTCAGTTCAAGATCAGTCTGGGCTACAGAGAGAAAAAGAAAGAAATCAAGTGAGCAAAACAGAACAACAGACACAGACCCAGATCTATTCAATAAAAAAAAAAGTTTAAATATAGTGGCACAAGTCTATAATCTGGAGGTTGAGGTTTCAAAAAAGAGGAAAAAGAAAAAAACAGGGTTAAAAGATAGGTTGAAGAAACTTCACAGGCGCTAAAACATCAATAATATTGGAAAATAAAAACTAAGACAATTCATATAGTCCAACATCCAGTTAAAAAGACAACAGACAATAAAGAGAAGAAAAAAATGCAACAAAATTTCCAGTGAAGAACCTGAAAAAGATACCCATGTGTCCAGAACAACAGACTAAAAGAGTGCCCACGAAGCTAGACCTAAAACCTCTAACTAGGACATTGAAGAATTCTTAAATCCCAAGACTTTCAAAAAGCAAGCTCTGCCACTAACGAAGGAATCAGAAAGGTGCTGAAAAAGCAGCACCATTCAAAGCTAGAAAACAGAAAACTGCTTTCAATGATGTGGGGTGTCCTTCTGAACACGTACGTGTTGCTTTTATTGGTTGATGAATAAAGCTATTTGGGCCAATGGCTTAGCAGAGCAAAGCCAGTCAGGAAATCTGAACAGAGATATAAGGAGAGAGTAGGCGAAGTTAAAGCAACACCATGTAGCTGCTGAAGGAGGACATACATGCAAGAACCATACCAGTAGGCGATACACAGATTGATAGAAACAGGTTAATTTAAGATGTAAGAGTTAGTTAATAAGAAGCTG